TTCAGCTTCTGCTTCGCGCACGGGACCGGCTGCCCGGACGTCCACAACAGCCTCGCGAAGGACGAGCAGCACAGGGGACGACGCCGCAGCCGCAACCCACAAGCCCCCGAAGTGCAGATCCACGCCTGGGCGGCCGCCATGCAGCGCCGCGCCGAGAGCCAGTTCCGGCGGGATTGGACCTTCGGCTTCACCCTGTGGAACTACCTCTTCAGGACCATGGTCAACACGCAGCAAAACGCCTTCATCTACTACGTCCCCGACGAGAAGAACGGACGCAGGCCCCTGACCAGCAAGGAGATCACGGACGGCCAGAAGCAGATCCAACAGCAGCTGATCAAGGGCCAGTACCTGGACATCAACAACCAAGTGAAGGCCATCAATGGAGATCTGAGCAAGGTGCGCTTCGCCCCGGATCTCTCGCCGGCAGCCCTCAAGGCACGGACGCCACTCCCCAAAGAAGAGCACAGAAGCATCGTCTGCAAACCCACACATACCCCCAAAACAAAAGGATTGCCCCGAAAAGCATTGGTCCCACCCATCCGGACTCGCCTAATTATCTAAGCTTCCCTCCCGAAGCCCACAGCAACCTGTCGCGCCGGCGCCAGGTCCTGGACAACACGGAGGCGCGCAGCCGGAACATCCCCGGAACCCACGAGGTGCGCAAGACCATGCGCCACCAGACCCACGCCAATCGGATTTGCCACGGCACCCCACTCTTCGTGACCTTCTCCCCGTCCGAGCGGGACAGCACGTTGATGCTGCGCCTGGCCCGCCTCCGGCAATCCGACCCAAGCCTCCAGCGACAGCCCGCCACCAGCCGAGCCGCGCAAGGCCGCAGCAAGCCCGAGCTGGACGTGGAGTTCTACAGTCTGAACCCAGAAGCACTCGCCGCGGAGTTGCCGCCCTACGACGAGCGCCGGGCCATGCTGACCAAAGACCCCGTGGCCTGCGCCGACGGCTTCCGCGTCTTGGTGCAGCTCGCACTACGCCACCTCTTCGGCGTCCGCTACTGCCCCGACTGCCCCGACTGCGGCAACTCCCACAAGCCCTGCACGGACGCCTTCGGCAGCAACGCCATGGCCTGCGGGGGCATCTTCGGCCGCATCGACGCCGCGTTCGGCTCCATCGAAAGCCAGAAGTCCGGAGTACTGCACGTCCACTTCCAGCTCTTCGTCCAATGCTTCCACCAGTTCAAGCCCCTCTCCGAGCTGCAGGCGCTGGGCCCGGAGCGCAAGCGGGAGCTCTTCCAGAAGTACTGCACCTACACGGCCCACGTCAGCCGCACCATCTACAAGGACCCGCAAGAGTGGGAGAAGAAGCGCCAGGAGACGGAAGAGAAGT